CTATCAAATACGCTGATTTAGAAGGAGAAGAAGAAATACTTGCTTCAACAACTAAAGATCCAACATAAGTAGGAATCAGAAAAGAACTAGAAGTAGTAGAAACTCTGACGGTAATTGTAGAAACTCTAGCAGTAACGAAAGAAGCTCTAAGACAACTTTTAGCATTAGGATCAACCTCCATCTCAGTAATAGCCCTGGTAACCGAAGTAATAATAGTAGAATTTGAAAGATTTCCTTCCATAAACTAGAAAATGACAACGGAATAGTAGAGAAAAGGGAGGAAGAAAATAGAGAGAAAAAGGAAGAAGTTAACCAGAGAAAAAAGAAAAAGAAATGCAATTAAAAAGGGAAGCCGAAAAAGCAAAAGGAAATAAATGGAGAAGGAAGTGGAAGATTTGGGAAATCCCATATTTTAAATTTAAAAATCCAAAATCAACCTTTGATGGTTAGCAATAGGTGGAAAGATTGCATAAAATCCTATGAATATAGGTGTTTATAAACCTATAAATTGGTTATACAAACTAGCCAATAAATGAAAACCACGTGTACAAAAGCCTGCACAAGAAATGACAATATACAGGAAATCTCGAAGACATAGCTGCAAAAGCACCAAGGAATCATGATACCTACACAGACTGTAAAGGATCCATTGAATATTTAATTTTTGCAGGATTGTTTTATCAAAAGTTGCCCCAAATAACATGAACACAAAGGGAAACTTGTGTTGTACTCTTTTTTTCTTAAGTTAGATTTTTATCCCACAGGATTTTTACTAACAAGATGCCTTGATATAATTCTCTAATACAGAAAAGAAAGAAAATAGAAGCATAGGAGCACCCTCTCAAGATCTTAAACCTAGTTTTAAAAGGCTATTATTTATATTAAAAATAAAATAAGAATGTTCGATAACTGAGATAGCAACCCTAACAAATTAATTTTATTTTTTTCTTTCTTCTCACACGTTCTTATTCAGATGAAGGTTGAAACCTCAAGTCAGGGTGTTAAACCTTAAATGTTTTTGTCCATTATGCAATGCATATGCTAACAAGAGGTTAGAACTTAGAAATAGGGTGTGGAACCCCTTTTGCTACTATCTCTCCTTTTGCATTGGTTAGGGTTGGAATTTGAAACAAGTTCCAACACCTCATTTACACTTCAAATTTCATGTACCTTGCTTCTTTGTTAAAAATAAAGAAAATCTCACTTAAACCTTTAAATTTCTAAATTTGATCCTTAGACCCTCATCTTTCTAGCTCTTTGCATTTAATTCATTTTTTGCTAATTCTTTCCATTTAATTATCAAACCTTCAATCATTAAAAATTTAAACAACATGAATAGAATGAACAATTATAAAATTACTTGTAGAAAAATATAGCTTTTAAACCCATAATTTCACAAATGCTAATGGTTAAACACATTTTAAATATATATTTTTATGCTTCCATCACTGCCCTATTGCCTATAAGGGAGAAAGAGTCAAATTCTCCTTTCTGGCCATTCACATTCGAAAGTGAGCCACAGATTTGCTAGATGGAGCAAATCAAAGTATTCAATCTGGATGACTTATTGAGGAACCCCATAGAAATTATATTCTAATTATATGCCAATGGTTCCCACAACACACCACAATTCATTGTTCTTCAAATTCCCAAGCCTATATGTGGATTCCTAATAGAGTAGTTTGTAAGGCATTGATCATAAACCTACCTTAACCATTAATGTATTCATAAGGATTTTGGATGAGATAAAAAGGGAAATTTTTTATTTTTGCTTCTATTGTGCCCTCTAAAACTCAGCAATTGATTCTTTTATAGAATATAAAAGCACTCTAGAACATGACATGCATAAAAGGAAATAACTATTTAGGAAAAGATACTTAAGAACTATGACACAATAAGTGAAACTTTTTATTTGGCATTTCCATCATCATCATTATTAGAGTTTTCAAGAGTCTCAACAAATCTAAGACATCCAGGTTTGTATCAATCAAGGTTTTTATTGTTATGTTCAATAAAATTCATTTCTAGACCTTTTCCCTTTTTATCAAGTGAGACTTGGTAAAACCACCATAATATTAAGTATTACTTTAACCACAACCACACCTTCGATTGTGATTATTGCAATGATTACAGCTATGGCCAAGGTAATGACCATGCCCATTATTATCATGTAAGCTTGCATTCACTTTGGGGAATAAGGCTAACCTACTAGGTTGTGATTGATGATTTTTCATCAAAAACTCATTACTTTATTTAGCGAAAGAAGGCATGATGTCAATTCTGAATATATTTTAAACACACTCTCAATATTACTGTTGAAGGAGCAAATTTGAAGCATGAAATGTAGAGAATGTTTTCTTTAATATGTCTTTATTTGTAATTTTTTCTTCACATAACTTTGATTAAGAAGAAATTCAAAATATTGTTCAGTTATACTCACTAACAAATTTAAAATCTTACAATCGTAAATGTATCCATTCAGAGTAGGCTTTCAAAAGGATCACTAATTTCTGGTGATTGTACATTTCTCTCAAGTTTTGCCATAATTCTAATAAATCCTTAATTGTATTTAGCTCTTAACTCTTTATAGAGATTATGGTGAAGAAATATCATTACTTTAGCACGATTTTGCATGAATACTTGATTTCCTTCAACAATTGTGTCTCTAAGATTATTTGTAACCAAATGGATTTCAACATCTAAAAGTCCATGGCAAGTAATTTGAACCCATTATATCAAGAGTAACAAACTCAAGTTTTATTAAGTTTGACATTATAGCTATAAAACTTTGTCAAATGTTAATATATTAAAAAAATTAAATTATAGAAAAAAAAAAAGGATCTACGTTAATATATTACCTCAAATTGGATTACAGAGATGACCATATTGATAACATATTATAAAATAAAGAAAAGAGGTAGCAAAGATAACATAGCTTTTGTACTAAATTTCTTATTTCACCAAGTTCAATCATACAAACTTGTAAGTCGATATATAAGCTAAAGGAATGTAGGAATTTACATAAGTTAATAAGTGAAACTTAGTAGATGCATAAATAGAACTTAATGGGTAGATAAATGGAGCTAAGTAGATATTTAAATGAAACAAAATGGACACTTAAATAGAATTAAGTAAATACATGAATGAAACTTATTGGTAGAAGATGAAAATGAAAAGATTAAAGGAGACATATCCATCAATAACAAAAAAATTCAAAATAGGATGAATAAAAATCGCCTTTAAAAAAAATGAAAAAGGAGGGGGCGAAACTAGTCTCTTTTTGAAAGTAGGTTCTTACCCCCCCAAGTAAAAATAATGAGAATGCAACCGGGCCGGGCGGGGCCATACCCGATAATTCCACAGGACTTGTTCCAAAATGCAACAGAGTTGTATGAAGTTTGTCCATTTCTTATGGTTATGGTTATGGTTATGGTTGCTAGAAATCTTCACTTCTACACTCTGCTCTCGGCCTCCTCCTCTCACTGCTAACTGTTTTCACGACCAGCCGTCCGTCCGTTCTCCTGCGATGGATCCCAATCCCAAGTCCTTTCCTCTCCTCTCCTACGTCATGTCTCGCTTCCCTTCCATCAGGCCCTCCAAACCCGCCTCCTCTGATCCCGTCTTCGACATTGAGCAGCCACCGCCCACCTCCGCCCATCCGCAAATCGTTGATCAAATGCCCCACCTTGCCCACCCTAAGGTCCTCGCTTCCATGACACAAGCCGTCTCCGATGTTGCTCATACCCGGTCTGTTCTTCAAACCCTGGGTCCGCGACCCGACCATGAGGCAGTTGACAGCGCCCGCTCCAAGCTCTCCGAGATGGAGTCCAATCTATCCAAATCCCTCGAAGAGCTCGTTCTCTCCCCTCGTCCCCCGGAAGTGGATCGCCTTGAGTGGCGAGTCCACCTCGCTGAAAAGGAACAGCAGATTCGGCAACAAGCAGAGAAAGAACAAGCCATTTATAAGTCAATTTTGCAGCTCGACGAAATGCATGAAGCATACGGCAGGCTTCTCAAGGATGCTGAGGAGAGGCTTGTGAGGATTTACGAGTCGGCACAAAAAGTGGCGGAAAGCTCGGAAATAGTGGAAGAGGTGAACGAGGAGGTGGTAGGGGTGCTTGAGGAGGCGCAGGGAAGCAGATTGGAAAGGGTGGATTTGTCAGGGAGGAAATTGCGGTTTTTGCCTGAGGCTTTTGGAAGGATTAGTGGCTTGATTCTGCTTAATCTATCAAATAATCAGCTTAATGTAAGTTTTTTTTTTTCTTTTGTTTTTATAAGAACTGATGCTGGAATTCTTTATAGAATTTCGGATTATTATGTGGGAATTCTAGAGTTACTTGTTGTTAGTTAATTAAGCTTGGTGTTTCTCTGTAATGATGTGAATTAAGATTAGGAGCTCAAGAAAAGCTAATAGTTGAAGGAAGGGTTCAAAAAGTGCTTAATTTGTAAATGTGAGATGTTGGAGTTAAAATAGTTTGTCATGAAACCAACCTGAGTTGCATTTAAGTAAAACCTGTCCATTGAAGAATTAAGTTTTAGCAAGCGGAGTGATTGCTCCATAGCAAGCTGGGAAATTGTCGTCCATGTTGTTTGGTGGGAGACATGTCAAACCTATGTCTTTGGTGAGCTAGATTTTTCTTTTAGATAGGACTTTGCAATTGCAAGTTAGGTGCATATTTTCGGTAAGATGTAAATTTTATTTATAAAAACTAAATGATGAAGCAGCTCATAATAAAAGCTGTTACTGGTTCAGGTGCTTACACAGAAAGAATGAACTACTATTATATATTATCAAAATTGCTTTGTTTTGCTAGAGTTTAATCTTGAACAGCAGTCTCAATTCCCCATTGAAGGGCTATATACCTAGACATGGGGACGACTTGCTTTGCAAAGCTCAATGTCTTGCAAATCAGGTGCACTTGACTGGAAGTTGAAGTTCAATGGTGATGGTTACGCATAATTCAATAATTACTGTAGATAATCTATAGAAGCACTTTGGCTGCTTGAAGTCAAGCAGCTGATTGAGGAAGCTTTAAACAGTGGGAGGTTATAGAGTACTTTTTTAACTAGATAAGTGCAAAGTAGCAGTTTCTTTTTAAATATTCTTGTTATTTATTCTTTTCAGAAGCTATAATTTATTTGTATGACCAATACTCTTCTCCTAACTATTTTCTTTCGCTTTGAAGAAGCATGTGTCACCTTTGACTTTGATATTTTATTGTCATACCTTTCTATTTTATTCTGGCCTAATTCTTGAGTGTGAAACCAGAACTGTAAAATCTAATAGTTCTTGTGGAAATGTCAATTTTTTAGTGGCTATTTCCTGGAATTGCCAGTTGTTAAAAGCATTGTGTATGCTAGTGGCTGAGGCAAGGTACATGTTCCTTCAGAAAAACAAATTTCGCTTTTTATGAATTGGTTTAAGTAAAATTCAGCTTGAAACCCTCTTCATGTTCCCAAAGAAAAAAAAAGAAACCAGCATAATTTGATAATTACACTTCTATCTTCTGGGGGACAATGGGTTCAAGACCCTTTGTCACAGCTGGAAATTAAATCCAGATTTCATCACTGTTATTCAAATGATCAATCTCTTTAATGATTTAATTTATATCTCGCAAGCTGAATGATCAATTTGTTATGGTATGGCAAGTATTGTATTTTTTGGTTTTTCTATATATTTTACATCTGACCAATCTGTGTATTGAAACAGGTCATTCCTGACTCCATAGCTGGATTAGAAAAACTTGAAGAACTCAATCTGTCTTCAAATCTTCTGGAATCACTCCCAGACTCAATTGGGTTGTTGCATAACTTGAAAATCCTGAATGTATCTTCAAATAAATTGATGGCTTTACCGGACAGTATTTGTCAATGCAGGTATATGAATCATTGCAAAACCAATGTTGTCTTTTCCATATGCTATAAAATTTGAGTTTTTTATTTTATTGGTTCAGGTCACTGGTTGGGTTAGATGTGAGCTTCAACTCCATGACATATCTGCCAACAAACCTTGGATATGAGTTAGTGAACCTACAAAGGCTTTCAATTCAATTGAACAAGATCCGTTCCCTTCCCACGTCTATTGGTGAAATGGGGTCTCTGCTGTATCTGGATGCTCACTTCAATGAACTTTGTGGACTTCCAGATGCAATTGGAAGACTGACAAATCTTGAGATTCTAAATCTGAGTAGTAATTTTGCTGATTTCACACAACTTCCTGATACAATTGGCGAGTTGACAAACCTTAAGGAACTTGACCTCAGTAACAACCAAATCCATGTTCTTCCCGATACATTTGGGCGACTTGACCAGTTGACCAAGCTCAATTTAGAGCAAAATCCTATTGTCATTCCACCTGTTGAGGTTGTGAATCAAGGAGTTGAAGCTGTCAAAAGTTTCATGGCTAAGAGGTGGTTTGACATACTTGTGGAGGAAGAAAGGAAGTCAATGCTTGAAGTAAACGGACAGGCACAGACTGGATGGTTAACACGCAGCACGTCTTGGCTGAAGACTTATGTTTCTGGTGTTAGTGAGACTGTCTCAGAATTGCTCGGGACTCCCAGAGGATCTCCCAGAGACCCTTATCTTGATGAGCAGCGATGATTGCTTGCTTGGCTAATAATTTCTGTTTGCTGCTGCACTCATTCTCTCTGTCTCTCCTTTTTTTCTTCTGCAATTTTGAGCTTGAAGGGTGAAAAAATCTGACATTTTTTCATGTTCCATTTTTTGGTATATGACTTGGACAAAAATAAATAGGTATGGGTGCTCACTCGTTATTGATAGCTACTGACTCTAGTAAAATTCTAGAAGCTGTATATCAAATTGTACTGGAGTTTTAGCTGTTATTTCAAGTCTACTTGCATTTTTGTCAGTTAATGAAATATGGCACTGTTGTATTTGCAAAATTTTGCTGTGTGATGGGTATTTTGAGCCTCTGGAAGTTTTATTTGGAAACTATTGCTTTTGCTGTTAGGTATGGTTACTGAGATTTTAGCTAAATCAGGAGAAGCATTGCCCATCTCTTATAATTGATATTGAATCATTAAGCTTCCACAAGTGAAGAAGCTTTCTAAAGGTGATTCATACGAACACCAGCTGCTGAAATTCTGCTCAGAACCTGTGACAGAGAGGAGACGGATTGGACCAACTTCAGCTAGCAAGCAATAAAGGTTTTCTTCTTTCTTGGGGATACAACGAAGGGAATAGATAAAATCTGAGTTTCCTCCTCTGTAATGTGCGACACTAGGGTCAGAATTGTGATTTTAAAAATCCTTTTATACATCATGCCTACATTATATATTTATATCCCTAAATTTTCTAAAAATTAGAAGGAAAAGAAAATGAAAAGGAACCACTATAGACCAATTGCTTGTTGCAATGTGGTATTCCAGGCTATTTATAGCAAAGATCATCACCACGCGAATGGAAATGGTTTTAGACTTCCTCATTAGTGACACAAGTTGCTTTTATAAAACACAGGTCAATTATTGGTAATTTACTAGTGTTATAGGCTGGCTAGTAAGGAACTGGAACAGAGCCACGTCTCCCTTGATGTTGGATCTAATTAAGGCAAATGACACTACTGAGTGGCATTCTTTGTCAGAAGTACTCCAAGATCTTAATTTTCCAGTAAAATTTTTTGGCTGGATTATAACATGCATCACTACTTCAAGATTCTCAAAGATAAGCCACGGGTATTTCCAAGTCAGAAAGGGTTAAGGCAAGTTCACTGCTTTTGTATTTATCTCTGATTTTGTGGCAATTTAGGCTTGGCATGGTGGTGGTGTGCTGCGCTCTGCTGTAGTAGTGGTTATTTTGTCTTTTTATTATTAAAAATATATAAAATATTAATTAAAATTAATAAAAGTATTAAAACTTTAAAAAAATTATAAATGCACTTGGGCTTTCGGGTCCAGTGGCGTTAGGCTATGTATAAATGCATTCCCCCATTTTAGGACAACGGTTCGAATCTGGTCTTTGCAAATTTGTTCAAAACAAAAAAATTATAAATTATAAAAGTATATTTTTTATGAAGTGATGTGTGAAAAATGTTTATCAGAAGCTCCAACAAACAAAGCCTTAGTAGATTCAACAAATTTATCATCAATTTAAATACAAATATTTGAAGGTTAACTATATATGATTTGTTGATGATATAATATTCTTCAGTAAAGCTGATTTAACATCACCATTTCTATTGACTAGGATGAACTAGAAGAAATATATTTCGGAGGTGTAACTGAAAAACTCATGACTACATGGCTGCAGTTACTGGGTTTTATAGAGGGGAACTACTGGTGAAACATCTCAATGTGCCTTTATTAGCTAAAAAAACTCTCAAAGCAAGATTGGCAACAATCATTGAGAGGTTTCATAAAAGATTACTACTTTGGACCAGTAAATTGTTATCATTTGCGGGTAGAGACGTAGAGTAGTACAACTAGTTAATTGTGTACTCTTTCATTAATTATCGGTTCTATTAGAGTAGTAGTGTTGTGTTGCTGTTACGTGCTGTGATCAAGCAAATAGAAAAACTAAACTATGAAAGGATTTTATTTGTAGTGGGCAAAAAGAGAAGCAACACATGCCTTTGGTTGCTCGGGACATTATTTGTGTACCAAAAGGTGAGGGGGCTTTGGGATAAAACAATTAAATGTTTGGAACCAAGCTACACTAAGAAACATTTATGGGCTGTTGTTCTAAAGCCAATAGGCTGTGGATAAGGTGGGCGCGCAAAATCTGCTTATTTGAAAAATAATAGTGTTTGTCAGGTGAGAGATATTGATGAGTGTCTATTGAACCCAAGGAAAATGCTTCTTTGAAAATAATAATATGAGGGCATGGTTGGAATAATGCATACAGTGACCTAGAAACGATATAACATGGTTTGATAAAGAATGTTAGAAATATAATGTGCGTAATTACAAATAAGTGTGGATAGTTTGACTCTCATCTTGGATGAAAATTTCATGATTTAGATGTTAAGCTATCTTAGGGTATGCATTGATAGGGTAACTAAAACCTGAAACAAGAAGAGCAACTGGGATCATGTTTTATTAATTTAGTTTGAAAAATAATTGGCACTGCCTACAAAGTTACATATTTCGTTACACATTAATAATTTTTGTTATTTATGTCGTTAAAATTAATGATTTCTGTTATTTGTGCCATTAAAACTGATAATTTTCATTAGTTATGCTATTAAAACTAATTAAAACCGTTAATATATAACGGAGTGTGTAATTGTGTAGGGTATATGTATCATTGTCTATTTAGTTTTTTATTTTTATTTTTATTTTTGGGGTTATATCCTCTTCCTGGCTTGTAATGTGTCTGAGGCTACTTAGCACTTAAATGTCAAGCTTTATAGTAGCAGAATGATAGCATAGTTTGGCTAGATTGCTTCTTGTTATGCAGCAATACGGTCTCATAGGGATAGCCTACGATCCCAATCTTTTTTTTTTTTTTGGTGAAAATGAATTTATTTCTTAAAAAAGAAAAAAAAAACATCTCTTCCCTATTAAGCTCAAATTCAATAAGTATTAATTCCCTATTAAAGACTGCAAATTTGAAGCTCTTTTTGGTATTTCTTTCTATTTTCTAAATTAGTATTCTATCTAATAATTTAAACTTTTCTCTTGCATCGTGTTATGTTTGTGTCTTTCTCCCTTGAGTTTATGCTATCTATGCTAAGTCAATATAAGATAAATTTCAGCTTCTGAGGGAGGCCAACGTTTCAATATTTTTCAATCAATCTCTAGTTAATCTTTGCACGGAGTGCCTGTGATATTCCTACAATATATTTCTCATTTTAATAAATATATCTATAGGAAGATAGTTAGAATTGAATC